GCCATTTTTGCTTTATTGCAAGCACATATATTATTATTTCCTTGGTGAATTTAGGTAAAGACACCGCTCTTAGTTAGAGCATAGGGCAGCTAAGCGCCATTCCTACGGATTGGGTGGTGATGAAGATTATTGCTTTTAATAGATGGATTTTGCACCTCTAAATCCGATGTACATGCTATTTGATTTGGCATCAAAATAGGTGTATTGTTACTCTTTGGGTTGCCAGTTGGAGATCTATAATCTTTCGTTTTCGAATCCATTTGAAGTTCTTCACAGGTGTATACGGAGAGTGTGTTTCCGTTTCTTGGGTAGAGTTGCTTGAGTATGTGTCTAAATGACACAAATCTCGCTAACTAATCCGACCGGGTACCATAACGACGTGGAATGATGTTTCAGGTAACCCCGACTCACTGGAGTTGTAAACGCTGCCGTTAAAACTTAGCGTTTTATGTTTACTTAATATTTGTACTCAAATATATTTGTCAGTGTGAACTTTTTAGTTTGAATTTTTCAACAAAATTGTTGAATTTAATTAACTGTGCAATTAATAGAGAGGTAAAACTGTGATAACCGCATACAACAAAATCGCATTAATTTAGTCAATTTAATAATGCCGCTGTAAATCAGCTCATGTAGCAGCATTTTAGAGCAATGCTTTTTTCATTTCAAACGATATACAACAACAACAGCAACAGCAATAACAACAATAATAACAACAACAATTTCGTACAACAAATAATATTATCATTAAGCAAAAATGGAATAATAATATTATTACAGGCAGTAGACGGTGTGGAAGTATAGCAGAGTACGGCATTTTCAATTGATTATTACAATTATAATTGTTTGATGTAAATCACACACTTCACTTCACCTTACCTCATCACCCAATATCACTGTCAATTTCATTGGGGTTACCATATGCCACACATTCTCCACCGTACTGGTGCACTGGAGCACTGTACCTTCATGTCCCATTTACACATCGTGGCCTTTCGATGGGAAAATTTTAATGAACTGCGTATGCTTAACATGCTTTGATTAAGATTGCATAAAAGCTGGCATAAGTGCATTAATTAATATTTGCTTAGTAATGCCAACTGTGTTGACTGAAACAGTTTGAAAGATAGTTAAATGACATTAAATACGCATGTGGCGTATAATCAACAGCTTATGGAATATTACTGAGATACCGCATTTTAATTATAAAATTCAATTGAAAATCTCATCAATAGCGACACTGCTTCATTACGGTTCATTAAAGGATATAAGATCCACTAACTTCTTGAATATTTCGATAATATTACAAGTTAATCAAACAAAATTAGTCAGTTATATCAATAAATTTAATTAGTAACCAATTTATTTACAAAGAGATTTATTTTATCTTGTAAAAATAAATTATTCATATATATAAATGATATATTTAAATATAAAATAATTAACGACAGAAGAAGTGCAACAATAACCATAATTGTTGTCAACACTGCCAACTGCTGTCCAAGCAATAACTCCTTGCGTACTAGACTGATGGGCAACCCATGTAGCACCATGTCTAATAGAATCCTCCCTCCTAAATGCATTCGTCGATCCTTCCTTTCCAGTCATAGATATATCGACACCTTTTGCAATGAAGTTTACAGTAATGAGGTCGAATATAAACATGGACTTACAGCCCTCCACTTAAATGCAGTATCCTCTTCGAAACGAAAGTTCTCAAAAAACAAAGTTCTCAACAGACTTACGCCTAACATCTCCCTAGAAAAACAACGTCTACCCCGTGCAGCAAGAACTGCCCTAACTCAATTAAAATCAAAATAAAGCCGAATGCAAAACAGTTACTTGTTACACATAAACACGTCTATTTCTTATGTGTACTCAAACTGCAGTTCTACTCCCTATGACGTCGCACATCTGTTCTTCTGTCCTACAATGCTTATAAACCACCGTCCAATTGACGTTCGGAACCACCCCATTAAAGTGGCCAGGTTTCTCCATCTTAACCAATGTTAATTTTCAATTAAATTCTACTCACCAATATCATTATATCCCATCCTCATTCCCACTCCATCACCCCCAACCACTATCCATCCACCTCCTTACGCATGTAATCGTCTTGTATATCCTTTCATGTTATCTGCTTACAGGTCTCAGCGAGTTACTATAACAACTTAACATTATATAAAATATTTCAAAGTATTTCCTACTCTTGTTTGCTTTTTTTTTAAATATAAATTGTTTATCAACCGTTTAAAACCTTAATTTTTAAACTTTAACTCAGATGTCTAGGATAAAAATAAGTTACTGGTTGAGCTCAGCAGCTCAAAATTAACCGAACATGATTAAAAATTAAAAATAAGTGAATATTTACTTAATTAAAAAATTTTATCTGCATATATGTTATTAAATAGTTTTTAGTTTAATTAAAATTAAAGACTATGGAAGTATTATAATCGAGTTGTTCATATATTTAAAAATAAAATAGTTAAAAAATATAGTTAAATAAAATATTTCTTATAGAGGTTTCGAAAAGTAAAGAACTACAACAACAAATATTTTTTTGTTTTTAATTATTTGAATTTTTGGCTGACAAGGTCATGCTTACGGTACTCATGTTAATATTATGAAAATATTTTGAAAAAAATTATAATTTATTAATTAAATAAAATTTATTTTTATTAAACCGGTTTAAACATTTCATGTAACCATAAAATAATTAAATTAATTAAATACAAAATTTTGTTTTTTTATACATTTCATTACGGTTTGAGCTTTTCTATTTCAAATTTAAAATAAGTTTTAAAGTAATATTTATTTTTTTAAATAATTTTATTATTCAAACGTAGAAAAAACATAAAAATTTTATCTAATAAATTTATGGTACTACATATCCATCTATCCATCGTTTGCAAGGATTTGTGATCAAGTTTCCGTTTTTTATTTACTGAGAGAACCATGAAAAGAACATTTGAAATTAACGCACAGAAGACGAGCATGTCAAATGCATCCTTTTGTCCTAAATACATGTCATGTAAGGCAAAATTATAGCTTCATAAACATTGTCCAGTGAAGAGTAATTGCCGAAAAAATATTACAAAGCCAGAAGGAATTTTTGTACAACTTTTAGTATTTGGATCTGTAAAAGGACACAAGAACGGTCAGAGTTAAAACAAAATACGATATAGGATTACTTTTTGCTGCAGTAAACTACAAGAAATTAAATTGTGTAAAATATTTTAGTTTTTCTTATTTTATATTAAATATTTTAAAAATCTTTCCATTTTTCAATGCCTTCAAAAGAAACTATTTTTTGACACGAAATCTTCCACTTATTTCCTTTTCCATACCTATTGCAAGTAGTGCTGAATAATCTTCCGTTTTAATTAATTATTTAATACATTGAGGGATGATATGTAATAAACTCTCACACCTTTTGTGTCTTATTCCTTATTCCTTATTCATTCCCTAAGTCACAACATATTAGTGTAAAATTGTGCTAATTTAGAATAAATCAACATTAGTGTGGAAATCCTTAACAACTTCCAATTACTAGTGCCCAAGCACCAGAAATTTCTGTAACTGTCTATTCTTCGAAAGCTATCACATAACTGAATATTATATTCAAAGTTAATATCAGGAGTTAAAAGAGTTATAGAATGCGTCTTCATATTTACTAGTTGTGTACTTTCAGTTTTTATTTGACGCAAAATAATGATGCAGTTACTTCGAAGAAGTTTGAAATTTACGTCAACAGTTTGTAACATCAAAAATTTAGACTTAAAAGCATCAACGATTCCAATAAAAAACTAAACAATCGATTCAATACATTCAGGCATGTATATTAGGGTGGTTCGAATATACAAATTTTTTTTCGACACATTATAGTGCGCTTAAGTTGCCTCTAGTATAGAGGAGAAAAGAAACCATAATACTTTTTCTCTGTGAATACCCGGCTTTAGCGCCCAGAAGATATAGGTTCAGACTGCTCACCGGTGAAGATGAAAAACCTATTAAATTACCTAAATTCGCCGGGATGGATTTAGTCTCTACACTTCTATACTAGAGTTTTTGCGAGGAATATGGTAGCAAAACGGCGAACAATCGCTAATTGAGGTATATGGAAGTTATACAATGGAAGTTATATAAATATTAACCAATATTTTGATCTTTTATAATAAACTGTGATATAACTTCGTGTTTTAGAAACAGACACTGTGGATGATGATGAACTTTATCATTAAATAATTTCAATGAGTTGAAAAAGTATTTTTTGTGTCAGTGTTTGACAAACCATAGAAAGATTCATAAGTAGCAGGTAACTCTATTTAACATAAAAATTAATGAAACAAATCCACAATTGGATCAAAACAGCTCAGAACTACCATCGTCTAAAATGAGTAATGAGAGGTGCAGGTATGTGAAGAATGCACTGGAATGGATATACAGTCTCGTTAACGCGACTGGAGCAATGTGAAGGACCACAAAAACCTTAGCGGAGTTTCGTGTTGGGTATATGTGATTATATACATATATATACATTTCAAAATTTTCACGAATAGGTTGTGAAGAATTTTTGATTTAACTAGCACCCAAGGAAAAAGTTCGTGTGTAATAAAAATATTGTAAAGATTCTGATAAGCAGAAAACACATTCAATCGTAGTCAGTCCAACTCCTCCACTTCAAGTTTTACAAAACTGTGTGCTCTTTTCTGCTTTTATGTCTTACAGTTAGTGCCAATAGAGAAGCTGTATAGGTCATCTATAGGAGTATTTGCGGCATTTATTTATTATTATTCAATAAAACTCTCAAGACATTATTATGTGAATTTAGCTCTCTCTCTCCGCTTATTTTGCTAATTAAATTTACAAAGTTATTGAATCTATTCTTCTCTTTGTAACGTTTTTTACAGAAAACTATTTTAAAAGAATGTAAGTTGTATTTAAAACATTTCAATTATAAATAAAATACGATAAATTATAGTTTGGACCACATAATTTTATTGAAGCCAGATATTTAATATTTTTTATTAAATATAATTGTTTAGACAGTATTAGGTATTTACGCAGATCACAAAAATTTTCAAATTAAATTGAGCAAATCAAAACAAGTGATTATGATACCAAAAATTTAAGTAGATGTTCCAATAAGTAAATATTCGCTGCTGATTAATTAACACATATCAGTCTTCTTTCAATAGTTCATCCCCGCTGTCGTCAGCATCCACAGTACCCACTCCCGTACACTTGTTATTTTCAACAACATTTAGAGTCTTATCCTCAGCAGCAGGTTCTTTGCTTGAAGCATTAACACTATCTGTTTCTTCCTGTGAGTTATTTGGCAACGCAATAGTAACATCATCTTCATTCTCCGCAGGAGCATTTATATCACTTTGTAGTTCTTCCAAAGGTACTGGTACAACATTCCCATCATGATTCGTTAGCAAATCTATTTCGGCTATTTCATCTCCTAATAACAATTCATTAAGAATGTTAATTGCAGCGTCAACATCATTATGTTGAACTACGATTTGCATTCCTGCAAATATTTCAGCAAGAACAGCATGGTTAACATACAAATTAACAGGCGTTGGAACTAACATATCATATTCATCGGTATATCCTTGTTCTAAGTTTGCAATCCGTTGTTCGTCCTCGTTATATTCAAGAAAAATAAATGAGTGTCTGCGTCTGTGTTCAATAAATTGCATACTTAAAATTAGAACAGTTCTGCAAAATATATAGAACACTCCACTCAACAGAATGCGATACAAGATATGTGGAACTATGTAGAATATATTTTCACCTATTTTACACGACATGTACAAAAATAGTAAACTACTGCAGATAGCACCGACGGTAGGTGCTTGACATGTATTCAACAATACAGTTTTGATCGGTATTCCACTTTCGTATCCGTATTGCATATGAAGAAAGGATTGAAATGCAGCCGAATTATTAATCCATTCAATTTTGGACAAACCGAACAGCAGTACCTCGTCATAGTTAATCATTTCTATGTAAATGCACAATGCCATGAGTGATTGGACTGCAGCCATTTTGAAGAACAGCGTAGCTATAGTATTGATTTCCTTATATTGGGAGAGAACAAGACATAATATTATCAGGCAGACTATTGAAATTTTATCAGTCAACGAGGCATTATTATTAACATCCGAAAAGAAAGCACACATACGATAATAAACATGTTCAATGGGAATAATGAGTTTAGAGATGAGAGATCTTTTTGGTTCCAAAATCATGTATGGAGTTTGACAAATTTCACAGCACAATTTGTTGTCAATATCTGCTTTGACCTTATACAATTCCCACTTTTTGAGGCAATCCTGATGTACCCATTTTGTATCACCTTTGCATTTACATGGATGTATAAAGGTGCCTTCGTCGTTGTTATCGGCGGAGTCGAAACAAATTCTACACGTGTACATGATTTTCAAATTCAATAGGAATTGTCTACAAAAAAACAAAAAAAAACATTTTTATAGAAGATATATAAAAATGTAGGCATTATAACTTAACTAGAATGAATATCTAATAATTAAGTAAATATATTCATAATAACAAATAAATAAATTATTGCATACATAAATCCATAGAAATAATAATATTCATATTGATTTTATATAAAAAATAGTATTAAATATTATTATTTATATTTCGTCTGTTGGTTATGAATTTTATTGGTTTATCAGTTATCAGACGACAAAACTAAAGCTATCTTTAGTAGTTCAGAACGCAACTGCCAACTTTTTGCGTTGCGTTTCGCAGTTGTGTTCTGCGCCATCAATGACACTTTAGTGTCAAATCAACACTTAAGTGTTTATTATAAAATTAGTCCATTATATATGCAAACAGTGGAATATAATGAAATTTGATGTATTATTTTACTCACTAACCTCTTAACAGATTCTGTGCTTCTTAATTTTCTTGATTTAATTTTCTATTTGAATTTGAAACAACTTGTAATTTAATGCAATTTCAACATTTTGCATTGGTTACAAAAAATGCAAAAAAATTTTGATCCTGCTATTATTTCAAAACATAAAATTAGTATTTTTTTTTAAACTAAAATACGTACATTTCATTTTTATTTAAACTTCATATCGAATTTTAAGTTAACTTGATTCAAATAAAAATTTATTTTTGATTAGTAGAAAGCTTCAGATTTGATAATTCTTTACAGGGAAATATATAATTACTCAAATAATAAGGCCAGCACTACTGTACGGATGTGTAACTTACAGCAAAGCCTCAAATACTGCCATAAAGCAATTACAGACAGCACAAAATCTGGTTTAAAGAAGACTTATTAAGATTCTTTGGTATATTAGAACAAAAGACATGCATAGAGATCTAAGAATCGACTCAGTGAGAAAATATATTAAGGATAGATTCCAAAAATTATTCATAAAAGATGATACGTTACCCAACCCCACCCTAACAAACTTTAAATTCAACTCAGGACGCACAGTAAGATATGCTGATCTACGGTCCGTCATCAGTTAAAAAATAAATAAATGATAATGATTCTAGTATAGTTAAAGTTTGTGGGGTGGGGCAGTGATAAGCCCCCCAGCCACAATAGAGTAAAAGTGCGCAATAGCACTAACTCAAATCACAACAACAACAACAACAACAGAATAGACCTCATGGTGCAATACTTCCAGAAATGGAAGATTAAAATTAACAATGACAAAACTAAAGCTATATTCATAACACAAAAGACAAGGCAGCATCCTTCAAGAGTGAGCATCGGTAGCACCAAGATACGGTGGAAAGAAACTATAAAAATCTGGAGGTCACATTTGACAAACGACTTAATCGGTATAAACATATGAAATACAAATGGAATAGTTGCTCTAAAATACTACATCTTCTAAAGCCGATGATTAATAATAATAATAATAGAAAGTTACTATATACTCAAATAATAATAATAACTCCCGTATTATCTCTATACATTATTTTCCCAAAAAGTTTCAAAATATGAATTTTTTAAAAATATTACTTACATATGCGTAACAAATTTTCCTTTTTAATTTTATAAATTCAGACTCTTTGTTCTATTAAAAGGATCACACATGAAATACTGAGAAATAGGTAGACAAAACTATAAATACAAAGATTCATATCACTAAGTTGTTCAGGAAATCGAAATCTTGTAATGTTTCAGATGTACTTTCCACTGCTTTATAAATAATTTTATGATTTAACACATAACACACATATAAGTTAACAACCGCGTCTTCTATTTAATTAGATTTAATTTAATTAATTTAATTAGAACAGAATCGCTGCTCATGTCCACAACATTTCAAAAGATTTTTAATGATTAATGTTTATGAACATAACCACAAACAACACACTAAAAATGCAAGCAACATGTCCAAAACAGTAAAATAGTGTAGTGTTTCCGACATCTCATGCACAATTTTTAATGTTCTCTTTAGTGTACTTTTCCCCAAGGTAGTGAACTTTTCAACGATCTTTGCACGAAGGTATTCAACTTTTTAGTATACTGCATTTTTAGTATCTATCGAACAAAGTGTTTCGGAAATACTTTTAATGTGCATAGTTGTGCAAAAATGCAAAAGAGTACACTACGTTCGGTACTTTACTGTTTATTTCCGTTCACTGCTTGTAAACAATTAATTGGGCTTGTAATTAGTGTTAAAACTAGTGTTAATCTATACAAAAAAAACGTTTATTTTCTCTTTGTTAAAATTGTTAAAATAATTCAAACATGAACCCAAACATAAACAATGTTTTTAATAAATTTAAAATAATTTTTTTTAATATTAACTGAAGAGTTCGCTCGATAAATGCCTTTGAATGTGAAGCATTGCATTGTCTTTTTGTTTGGAAGTGCTTAGAAACTACCATACGATCATAAAAATTAATCTCTATAAAAGGAGGGTTAAGTGTATTAAATACATTAAAAAAAAATGTTATAGAAACATAGACATGATTTTATAATTTCCTGGTAATCAATTTATAAAAGTAATATTTCTATAGATGACGGAGTTCGCTTTTTGTGTCCTCTTTATGTATAGTGTCAAAAAACAATCCTTATATATTTGTTCGTTTTTTTTAATAAAGTATGATTGTTTTATTTTGTTGAGAGTGTTAAGTATATTAACAAATGGCACTGGATTATATCATATGATTCTATAAGCAAAATAAAAAAAAAACTCTAGATTATAGTCCTTAACAAAATATATTTAAATGCCTTTACTTAAATTAACGCCAATGATTGTATAAATTTTTTATACTGCTGCTTTTCTCTAGTTATCTTCCTCTAGTTATATATATATTCTTCCAAAAATAAGAATTGAAGATTGTAAAACACTAAACGCTCTATAGAACATACTGAAAGATAGAACGAAGATGTGCTTGATGACGGATCTGCATGTGAATCCAGTAGTTATATTGAGTCTTCAGATAGCAACGAATACGATATTGTTGAAGTCTTAGCAGAAATTAGAATTACTTTAAGACAAAGTGGTTCTAATTTGCGAACATCGACTGTATATATATATGTATGTATGTAAATATATATATACGTACAAATTGTCAACTAATTTTATTATATTAATATAATTTAGTACTATTAATTTAATTTTGAAAAAATTAAATAGAGAAAAATTCAGTTTTGATTTAAAAATGTTTACTTGGAAAAATAACAAAAAAAGAGCAGTGCAATAATTTTATCCAATCATTGACTTTAAATAAATGATATATTTCTATATATCTATATAAATATATTACTTTAATTACTATTAAAATTAATTTGTGGTCTTACCTCTTTTAGATGCAATGATGTAAATTCTCAAACAAGCTTTCAATTGCGTTTATTGCAACATCTGACTTTTTGAAAATGTCCAAGTATTTATGAAAAGAAGCTCCAGGCAGAAGTTAATATAATTAATTGACTAAGCATATATCTTAGGATCCTACATCGAATGCTGTTGTTGAAATTCTGTTTTTGAAAATACAATTATTTATAAGTACTGATATTAAAATTTGCCTTTACTTACTGCAATAAAATCCATTAAGATATATTATTGAAAATTATTTTCAATTTTTATTTCAATCGTTAAAGGTTTTGGTGACAAATTTCATTTAAATTTTTACTAATGTTTATTTATTTTTTATTTTTCCCACCACTACCCTCCCTAATTTAGTAAATTATTTTTTTATATTTTTATATTAGTTGCATATTTTTATATTATATTGTATTTATATAACATTACGTTATATTATCTATTAAAACCTTCTATTATAACCTTATCCTCATTTATCATTCTCTTCGTCTAGTTCTTGCTGTTCTGTAGATTGTGTCTCCGTTTGAACATTATTTTCATACTCTCCATCAGGAATTTTATCTTTTGGTAAGTCTTGTTGTAGTACATGATCAAATTGTGGGTAACCATTATTTACATCTAACACAGTAAACAAATTACAGACTACTTTTTGAGATAATATACTCTGTTCCTTCTGTTCAAGTCCAACACCCGGCAATGGTTCCTTTCCGGTTTCATTCTTTTGGTCGTCTAGCTGAATTTTTTCCAATGATCTATAAATTGTCTCAGTACTTTTTTTATGCATTAAATCAATATTAATATCTTCAGATAAGTCACTATAAACTGCCTCTTGTATATCTGATGGATTTTCACTTTGCTCTTCAAAATGATATTGTATATACTCTTCTTGTTGAAACTCTCGTTGTTGTAACTCTTCTTCCTGTTGTAGCTCCTCTTGATTGTTAGTATTTTTATGTTTGTATGGCAGAAACTCAATTTGCAATGCATATTTATGTACATAATATCCATTCAATAAATCAACTACAGTACTTAGCAAATAAAAACTGATAACAATTGAAGCTCGAAATACAACAGAAGCTTGCATGTAGCCTCCATATATATACGAAATGAATTCAATTATACCCGGAGCAAACCATATATCTACAAACCAATCAAGCATTTCATTATCAAGTAATATCTCAAGAAACTGGTTTCGATTAATATCCGTAGAACAATTGAACTCAACATCAAGAAATGATGCTAGAAAAGGATTAGCCGTTGAAAATAACTGAATTATTTGAATTACTGAATAAAGTACAAGGAACTTTAGGTTGACAAGTTGTAAAAAACCAGAGATACAAATTGAAGTTTCTAACGCAGTAAGGTTCCTTATGAAAAAAGCATGTCTAAGCAAGGGTAATTGTTGAAGAAATTTTAGCCATTTCATGAAAAGATAAAACAAGCCGTAGAGGCAAGTAATAGCGCGGATGGATTTGCATATGTATAGGTGAAAAGGTTTCAGAAATGGTTCGCTTACGTCCTTAATTCTTAGAAATTTTGGTCTTGGAGGCAATAATAGTTTGTAGTTGCTGAGGCAAACATCACATTTGAGATAATTTCTTGAGTTATATTTCTTTTTCTGTCGTTCCCAGTTGGTAAGACAATTTTTATGAACCCATCCGGTGCTAGCCATACAGCGACATGGATTTATGAGCATATTATCATTATTGTCATCAATTTCGTAGCATATTCGACAGCATTTTTCATCTTCCATTATTGCAGAATCAATGACATATATATTATATATTTTATGAAATAATAAAAGAGATTATTCTTGTCTGAAATCTAGATTTTGAGCTTGAGACTTTCTAAGTTTAAACAAATAATTATTCCAAAGCAATTTCAAAGTAAACTATTTGGAACTATAAGTTAAAAACTGATATTGAAATAATTTTTTTATAAATCTTTTTTATTTCCCTAATGTCAATACTGTATAAAAATTTTATGTCAGTAAAGCAAAGTAACTGATATTTACTAAAATATTTATAAGATCTTTAATGCTGTTATCGATAACAGTAGACCAACTATTTTGTCATTCAATTACTAATTGATAAATATTGTCTAGTAAAAACTCAGCATATCGAATTGTGGTGATTTACAATTTACTCTGGCATATATTGTGTCGTGTGCATACTCGATAATGCATTCCCGAAAATGCCTAGAGCACATTTAGCTTTGGTATTCATCTGCGATCTCCCGGCATGTGTGGACCTAGCCAGTATAGCTCTAAAGGTCCTTACATTTACTGAGCCTCAAGCGGGTGATTTATTATATCAATTACATATTTAATTATTTTGCGTGAAATATTTTTAAGTAAAGTTTAAAAAAGTTATATCAGCTGCATATATATATGGTGGGACGTTGAGACAGCGCACCATCCAAAAAGTGGCCACACTGAAGTGAAGGTGTAGCCGAAGTAGACCACGAAACTACTTGGGTCCTTTTTCGTCCTTCGATTCTCGGATGTCGGTGTTGAGTTAAAGCTGAAGTAGCTTCCGTTCGCATAACTGCATCTCTTGTTAATGCAAGCAGGTCATTTAGCTTGAGGTTGCCTGTCAAGTCAACACCAACCCAATGTTGTCCCAAGACAGTCTTCCACCAACTTGCCAGTGCTGGACATTGGCACAATATACCTATGCACAGCTGCCTCTTTTTCTTCTAGATATAGTCTGGAAGTGTCCCAAGATAGTCTTCCACCTACTTACCAGTGCTGGACATTGGCACAATATACCTATGCACCGCTGTCTCTTTTTCTTCTAGACATAGTCTAGAAGTGTCTTCCTCAGCAAGAGTTATCTTTTTGAGGTGATACTGCCTGCATGAATGGGATCATTACAATATGAACGTTCCCTCATTAATATAAATTAGTAAGTGACTAACTGAGACAGTGTGAATGTACTATTAGACTTTAAATGTAAGGAAATTTAATCTGATAGCAGCATCGTTCACTATTTCTCACGAAATGTTTATTATATCGAATAGTGCTGTTCGTATTCGGTATTACGAAGTATTCGAAGAATCCAAATTAATTTTTTTTTATTTGTAATGTTTTATTTTTGAAATTAATTTGTTGTAAAAATAAAACTTACAATACATTCTATTAAGAGCTAAAGATTAAAAGCTAAGTTAAATCGGTTAAATATTTTATTAAGCAAAAACTGAACGCTAAAAAGTTCGTTTTCAGTTTTGTTGACATTTTGGCATTTAACACCATTTCGCACTCATTTCGCAAATATGTTGGCGAAAAAAGTGACTAAAACGAAAAGTAATGCAATGTAATTTAAAAAATATATGGAAAAATGTAAAAAAAGTGAAAAAAGTATTTCGTGAGTGAAAAACGCCTCAACTCAATTTCAATTCTCGCAGAATGAAATTTAAAAACAAAATAAAACTCAACAATTTTCAGTAGGTTAAGCCCACATTTTTGCGGTTGCAACTAAAGCTGCAATTTAAAAACAATGATGCCAATCGAAAGATTTTTTCAATTTCAGCAACAATGGCTAAGCCCTTTTTCCTCCATTCAGTAAAGTAATACGCGGCAGAGTTTTTGTGCCACATGTGCCTGCTTTCAAACGGAATACTTTTTATGGAGCTCCGTACAAAGCACTACACACTGGATTTGTTATTTTGTTTGTCACTTAAGTGAAAGTTGAAGTAATAATGAGTGTTCTCGTTTTTTTAACCTACTCGTAGCTTTGGTATAACATTATTGTATGTGCTTCCAGATACATAAGAACTTAAAAGTTTAAAGTCTTGAAAAAAGAAACAAATCATTTATGAAAGTATCTTATACATCACCAAATTTTAATATTTTTTCATCTTGTAGTTCTTTGGACTTGACAGAGCACTGTGGCGGATTATAAATATCAATTATCTATTATTGTCCCTCACCATGTTAGATCACATGATAGGTGTTTTGCTTCAATCATTGTTTTTCTGAGCAAAGAAAGCAAATAATCCACCAATCGAGTAAATGATTTTCTTTATTTTCCACTATTTTCCTCTTCTAAAGGTATCCAGCAACCTCTTCATGAACGTATACAAATATATCTCAACTCTCTTGCTTCGGGTCTGATGTCCCCTTGTTGCTGGAATTCATATTGCTTATTTATCTTTTAACTGATGACGGATCGTAGGTCCTGAAGTGGACTTGAGGTTTGTTAGGGCGGGGTTGAGCAACGTATCGACTTTGTGAATAATTTTAGGACTCTGTTCTTGATAAATTTTTTTCACAGAGTCGATCCTTAGATCTTTGTGCATGTCTATTGTTCTAATATACCAAGGAATCTTAATTAGTCTTCTTATAGCCAGGTTTTTTGCTATCTGTAATTGCTTTATGGCAGTATTCGAGGCTTTCTATGTTACACATACGTACAGTAGTACTGGCTTAATTATTCAAGTACATAATAACTTTCTATTTTTTAGGTTCAATTGATTATTATAAAACAGTGGCTTTAGAAGATGTAGAATTTTAGGACAACTATTCCGTTTGCATTTCAGATGTTTATACCAATTAAACCGTTTGTCAAAAGCGACTCCCAAATATTTTATGCTTTCCTCCATTCAAAAATTTTTTCGAGTCTGAAAAGGAAAACACCGCTTCGGATGTTGTAATAAAACCTTCATTGAAAAAAAAAAGAATAGATCTACGTAAATTGTAAATTATCAGGTCTTAAGTATTATTTATCAAAAAATTGTAAAATGTCACAACATTATTTGACAGAATACCTAATACATTAAATTTAAATTAAATAAGCAAAAATTTTCTGTTACGATTCACTTCGCTTTTTAAAATCAGTTGTTCTAAGACTCCTCATCGCCTCTCGGTCATATAAACGCAAGTAAATTGAATTTACAAAGAAGAATATTTTCATGAGTTTGGTTGAAGATTAATATCGCTCTTATAATATAGATCAGGGCTGTCCAGACCAGATAGCATAAAAATAAAATAATGTAATTTTACCAAAATATATCAAAGGAAAATTTGCGTAATTGTGGTAGATAAAAAACATGTCCGCATATATATTAGCCGCGAGTCGCATGTGATCCGTGGGTTGTGCTTTGGACAGCTCTGGTATAGATGATGGCATTTTACAGGAGATATTTAACAACGTTT